CTATCACAAAAAAAAGAACAGACTATATTGTAATACTTTTTATTCTCCTTAAATTTTAGTTATGCCACCATTTGTAAATGGCAGTAACTTATATAAGACACACACACACACACACACACACACACACACACACACACACACACAGAAAAACACACATACACATACACACATATGAAGGGGAACAAACCCCAATTTCTTTTGCACAGGCCATCTTCGAGGGGTCAAGGACTTTTTCCTCAGTTCAGTTAAAACCCATACATCTCAAACAATGTACACTGCAGGATTTGCCGTTTATGATAATAGAGAACAGAGCAGCCATATCACATTATTAACTGGCAAGAATTTCTGTGGATGAAATCTCTCCTAACTATGCAGTTGATCCAAAATAAGATATCACCTACAAAAATCCTTGCTCACATATTTGCTGGACCATAAGGAGTATATATAACTCCAAACCTACTATTACTAATGGTAATCTCAACTTTTTTTAAAATCTAGAATCTTCTATATAAACATACATATAAACAAGATGCATCTAGTTGATCTTTGATTTGACTTCCTAGTACATACGTCTATTTGTAGTTTGATTATCTCATTCTGTTTCTCCTTATCTTGAGTTCTCAGCTGCCTGGTTAACTCTAAAACCTCCAGCTCTTTTTTACCTATTTGTTCTTTATGTTCTTCTTCTTTTTGTTCAACTGAAAACAGAAACACAAATGACAGAACATTATAATTTTAATATATAAAAATATATACATATTATAATTACAAGAGAGTTCATTGTATTAACAAAGTAGACTTAAAAGACGGCAGAAGCTATATTGTGGAATAAATTAATAAGTGAACTAAAAGCATAAACTGAAGGAACTTAAAGTCGTACAGGGTTTTTCTTTTTATTTTGTTATATGGGATATTTTTGGTACCCGTATTTATGGTACCACTTTGCAGAACAAAGATTTGAATGGAAACAGCTCCCATGTATTAAGGTTTTCATTAACCTGTAGAATTCAGGATTTTACAATAATGCATTTCAGTTGACCACACTCTTAAAGCTATTTGGAGTCTATTCCCACTCCTTACCACAAAGTGGATTCTCTCTTTTACAGGGTCTTGGAACTTCGGAGAGAATTTTCTTTTAAATAATGTACAAGAGTGATCTAAGGGCCTAGGACTCTATTGTAATTTACATTGGTTTGTGTATTCAGGACACACAGATGAGCACGTATCTGGGGGTAACCACTTATAATAGGCGCTATTATGGAGCCTTGCCACTAGGTGGTGAAAAAGCAGGCCCCTCTATATCAACAGCTAGTCCCAGGTATCAATAGATATCTGACATGGCATTGTTGTAATTTACATGACTGCAATTTTATCCCTGATTTTTCTTGGGTGGAGTGAGTGGGAAGGTAAGTCTACACAAGGTTAAAGCAAGTTTCTCTGGTATATGTTTCCATATTATATCACCATTCTGTTTACACCAGTTTAATGGCTAATTACACCAGTGTAAAGATTGCAAAATGAGCTCCAAACTAGGAGAAATTTTGTTACCCATTGTACAATGGGTATATTGGTAAATAGTGAGAATGAGAAACTGACCTTTAAGCATTTCATGACATGCTCTGGACATGCTAAAAGCTCCGTGCAGCCTTCAGAAAACTTTTACTTCCTATTCATGTTGCAGAGTTACACTTCTTCATTTAAGTTTTTGGCCAAACATTCAGTGTATTTCAGTTATACAAAGAAGCTGGTGATAGAATTGGGCCTTTTTGATACTATCTTGTTAATCTTCAAATTATTGTGCCACTACCCTAATTGTGCCTGCCACTTTCAGACCATTAGGTAGGCTATGGAGCAGCCAGTGGGTGAGTTTAGGCCCAATTAGGTGTAGCCTGACTGCAAGCACCTGCCTGATTGGAGGAGGGCTGGGCAGACAGGGTATAAAATCAGACCCTTGGGAGCTGGAGAAATAACATTGCACACCTGAGGACTGCAGCTCCTGTAACACCTGGAGGTTTGGGTAGGAACTATAGGGATGGAGGAGGTTCCTTTTGGTCCAGGGTAGGACCTGAAACTACACCCTGCTGGGATTGGATGGTGTGGTGAGGCTGCCTGTAGTGGGGCAGCTCCCAGGAAATGCCACACCTATGCCTCCCCAGTGAAAGGGGAGGATGGGGTGCTAGCAGGGCCGTCCCTAGGGGGTGCAAATCCGGGCCACTCACCACCCCCGCTATGCCCCCCGCTGCTGCCACCACTGCCACATCTGGGCCCCGCACCTGGCTACAGTCATCTCTGGGTGCCAAAAAGCCTCAGCCCCCACGGCCTTCTGAATCATCCCATGAAGGGGAAAGGTTTGGGGCCAAGGTCTGTTGGGAGGGACCTGAGGCCTGAGGTGTGAAAGACCCAGAGAGGGGCCAAACTCCACTGGGAAGGACCTGAGGCATACAGAGCATGAAGTGTGGCTCAGTGAGTGGTTGGATAATGGTGGCACAGTGAGGGGCCAGAGTGAGTGTGGCCCAGTGAGAGGCTGGGGGAGTTGTGCAGTGAAGAGCCAAGGGGTCAAGACCCAGTGAGGTCTAAGTGGGCCAGAGGCCAAGTATGGCCCAGTAAGGGGCCAGGGGAGAAGTGGATTTGGATGCCATCTGTGAGGCATGGGACATGGTGTATGGGCAGTTCAGAGCCATGTGTCTGGCCCACGGCACCAGGGCCGCAAATGGGGCAGTCTCCTGAATTACATATATTCATTTTACATGAAAGGCATGGCAGAAAGAGCAGGACAGACTGCCCTAAAACTGGTAGGGAGCATCTGTAATGGGGGTGCCTGGGGACCCCCATTACACTGTGCAATGTAAAAGGTTCTGTTTTCCTGAGCACAGCAGGAATTAATCAACAACGAGATTGTATCTTTGTTCCCAGTTTCACTTTTGTAGTCAACACATACCCAGCAGGACCATATTCCCAGTGCTCATTCTGTCCAGTTGTTCCTGATTTTCTGCCCCTTCTCTCTTTTTGCAGTGTTTACTCATTGCTTCCCTCTCTCATGAATACACTTCTGCTAAAACAGAGCCCTGTACACCCCTCTGCCTGCACATTCTTAGCATGTGCCTTTTTTGGACCAATGGCATGAATGTATTTTGGGTGGAGACTGCTACAGTTTCAAGTCTCTAGTTCCATAAAGATGCTTATTTCTTTTGTACATTTAGTTCATATGAAGACCTGCTACACCCATTCATTTCAGCAAAGTTTAACCCAACTCCATGAACCTGTAGACTTTAGAAAACTTACATTTTCTGTTCATGTCACAATAAACCTTTGTTAATTCCATCTTGTGGATTTCTTCTCTGTTTCTAATTTCTGTCACCAGTTTGTTGATTTGACTCTCATATTCCTGAGAATGTAAGCAATATATTGTAACAAATCTTTAGCCACTTGGAACACCCTGGTTACCACTATTCACTACATACTTAAAAGAGAATAGAGAAGAAGGTACTGTCTGCCAGTTCCTTGCATTCATACTTAGCTGTCACTTAGGCCATCAATATCTCAATTATTTCATAGAAAAATGTTATAGTGATTAGTTAGAAAAATTCCTGTGAAACAGAACATTCATAGCTAAGTCTACTTTTCATACTATACAGTATTCTTTATTTCCTGCTCTTTCTAGTCTATTCAAGGTGTCCAGTTATCTCCATATCTTGAATGAAGTCTTCAGTTTTATTTTCCATCTGCGCAACTCTATCAGTAGACAAGTGTGTACTAGTATAATTAATAGTGTTAATTTTTTCCCCTTACTAGTGGAGCAGGGCCTGTGGAGAAGTAACAACAACCCAGGGTTCAGGTGTGGGGCTTCAGCCTAGGATTTAAGTAATAATCCTATATTGACTTTATTAGGTTATGACTATTAGAATGTGCTTTATATAGCATTTAAAATGTATAATTTTGAGAAATTCCTTAAACCAAAGCACCTATATTACCTTTTAAAATGTAGGTAATAATATCAAATTACCTACATAAAATAATTACATCTCATCTTGCAGTACTTTTAATCCCCAGACTAGTGACATAACCCCATATACTGATATGTTTGTTGTACTAAATAGCTCATGATTAATATAAATGAAGTAAAAAATCCGTAATAAGGTTGCTCTTAGTTATTTGCAGATTTAAGATACAAGAGAGGGTAGATGCATTCCTTTCCCCACCAGTTGTGCCCCTGCTTAGCTTTCACAGCTATCTTAGATTAGAGTCCATCTTAATGCAGAGTATTAATGCCAATTAACACCACTGCTGGCCAGCACTGGTGATGTTATTAGACCTCCAGAAATGAAAGGGGTAGGTGGACAACTGAGTCACAGAAAAGTCACAGGCTGAGCCTGTTGAGAAGCTGGTGGAGCTCTGTGTGTTTTCATGGGGCTTCAGGAAAGTCACAGAATTTCATGGAAATTCAGACTACATTTTGATGTTCCTGCTACCACTTTGTACTCCCCAAATACAGAGCATAGCTGAAAACACACAATTTAGCTTTAAGGATTAGAAAGCTTTTGTGGTTTTCTGTTGTACCTGTCAACAAGTTTAGGGATGCTGCAACTACACAAAATTAATACTGGAAAATCAGAATTGGAAACAGACACAGGAGGAACGATCAATTCCAGACCCCAATTACTCAAAGAGCTAAAAATCATTTCTTGAAAGGCTCTGATTGAAAGAAATATATGGTAGATAAATGTTCTTTTTACTTTGCATATAAAATGCCCAGTTATGTCTCACCTGTTCATGAGCCTTTAATTTCTTTTCCAAGATATGGATGTTGTTCTTCAGCCTTTCATTTTCATCTGTGTAAATAAAATATTGTATTAGGCAGATGAGATTTAACTTTCTCTATTAATTCAAAGGTAAAATAAAGGATAGTTCCATATGTATCCACCTGAAGTTTAAATTATAAAGCTTCCTTACATTTTGTAAACGCCATTATGATATCACTTACATATGGGGGTACATCTTCAGCATCTCAAGTACATTTTTTATAATTTTTTTTAAAAACACAATTGTTGTGTAATATTTGTCTTAGTTTTATACTATTGATTTAATCAATCCTTTTACATGCCATGCTCTTTGGATCAGAAACTAAGGGTGCCTAAACACATGCTTCTGATTACAATGTGTTGGAGTAGACTCGATTGAGTCTGCTCGAGTGCTCTAATTAGAACAATCCAGTATGCTGTAACATTATGTGTATCCAAATGGCGGCAGGGGCACTTTAACTAACTTGTCAAACAAACTTCAGTTAAAATGCCCCTGCAGCCATTTTGAAATACAGGACACTGAGTACATGGGATGCTGCAGTGTTTTAATTACAGCAGCTCTCCAGGAACATGTGTATAGACACTCTAAGAGTTAGAACCAGGAAAGGGTTCATGCACCTACAAGTTAGACTTCACTTGCATTCTGCATACCGCATTGCTGTTGCTGCCCTTATCTTAAAACAAAGCAGCCACAAAAGTATTTTGTGGAGTTATATGTTATTTACCACTATGCTTAAGTTTTAGGTGTCTGGCTCTCAGAATCTAGAGTTAGGGCACCTCAGGATGGGATTCTATACAGAACAGAATGTATTCATGTAACTAGAAAGAGCAAAACAGGGTACCTGATTTTGTACCCTAATATTTCAAGTGACATTCATTTGGGACTCCTGTATTATAGTCTTGGCAATAGATATTTGCTGTTCTGATATTTTACACTCAAAAGTCATTGTATAAAATATAGAAACACTCTATGCATTCTTGCTGATCAATGACAGTTTTAACAAGGAGGGTTGAAAATAATTGTCATGAACCTCACTATGGTCTGGGGGTTTGTGGAGGTTGTGCAGATTTGCATTTGCTGTACTAGATATTGCGTTTGTTGTACTAATATGGCATATGCAGTCTTGTTGAAAAGCTGTATCCATTTATGTTGCTGCTATCACTGTATAGATTTTGATATGCTATCTGTGTGTCTTTATGATTTGGACATGGTATAGCCAAGGAACTAAGGAATACACATTTAAGGAAAAAGGCATGGACAGAACTGCTAAATATCTCTTTAGCAGAGATATTTTTATTGCCCTAGTGACACTAGGCAAAAAGAATTACCACTCCCAGGCAGAAGGAGACATTATTGGGTTGGGTACCCAAGGCATTGTCTGCCTGTAAAGGGGAAATTGACTCCTCTATAGCAAAAGCATCTGAGAGAAATGGAGCATCAGCTGGAGGAATGCCAGATGTCCCAGGGAGAGCAACTTCTGAAGGATTCTGAGACTCCAGATGAATTGAGACATTGAGGATGGTGTGTGTGTTTTGTGGTGGGGAGGGGGTTAGCTTTGATACATTTTAAGGACTGTCTGTGAAGTGTCTGAGATCTTTGGATTTTTCCCAGGATGAAGAAGGGTCCAAGTCGCAGCATACAGAATCAGTGTACAGAATCAGCAGGAAGGCTGATTTCTGGAGATACTGACAAGAGTCTCAAGGTCCCTGTCAAAGAAGGTCAAAGAAGTGGGAGGATCATCACACAAATGCCAGTATCCTAACTGATGCTAACACCACCAGCATAGAATCATTGATTATTCATCATCAGCTGCAATGGATAGGGCATTGTGTGTGCATGCCTGATGGATGTTTACCAGAATAACTGCTGCAGTCCCAACTCAGCCAAGGACAAAGGACATGTGGGGACAGAGAAAACACTTCAAGGACATCCTCAAGGTGAACATTAAGAAGTGTGGCATTGACATCACAAATTGGGAAAAACTAGCTTGGCACAGGATCCATGGAGATGCCTTAAGAGAGAAGGTACACCTTACTTTGTGGAAAACAGTCTCACCCTGGAGGCAGAAAAACAACAGAAATGGAAGGAAAGGAAACAAGACCAAGAAACCCACAGTTCAATCTCCCTTTAGCCAACACCTGTGGCATCTGCCAGAGAGTCTGCAGATCTAGGATGAGCCTTCTTAGCTATCAACGGACTCATCTACAAACCTTTATTTCAGTGGTTCCCAACCTTTTTTATACTGTGGCCCAGTGGGATGTGGTGCACGGAACCAGCTGCCTCCCTCCTGGGGTTGCCCCGCCATGCAGCTTTAACTCCAGTTGCCCACCTAGGCAGACAGATGGAGGTCTGAGCAGAGGGCTCATGCCACAATCTGACAGTCAACCCGCTGTGGCCTGGTACTAGGCCGCAGCCCAGTGGTTGGGAATCTCTGCTTTATTTGGTCTGTGGGAGTAATCATCCTCAACTGTGAGGGATTGCCAATGATGAATGGGTGAGCAAGGAGATACATGTAGTTAGCCATATTAGTCTGAAGTCAGGCAGAAGACAGAGTAGATTTGCATCCTATGGATTATAAAAATTATAAGTCAGAGAAGTATAACATCAGCTTTCATGACCCAAAGCTCACTTTAAGAGATGCTGTGAAAGGACACACAGAGCAGTGTATCAAATAGAAATTGTAATTTGTTTACAGAAGGCAGTGGGAGAGAGTATCTGTGAGGAGACAGGGCTCTGGGTAGGG